TTAGGTATTTGAGTTGGGTGATCAAGTTTCAATCTAAATGTGGCAAACTTTCAATCAAAATGTTTCCTTAAATCTAAACAACTTAACTAAGAAAGTTCTAGTTCTAGACAAATGCTCATTTTCTTAACTTAATTAAACACAAAGGTTATTGGTTTAAATAATTCAAACAATCATTAAGAATATGCTTTATAACTATCTAAAACTTCTTAGTTACAAAGGTCATTGGCTAAGAAGTCTTAGAGCTAAGTAAATTAGGTTCAGTCATTTCAACATACACCTTATGAGCAGGAAATGACTAAAGATCTAGATTAGAGAGATCAACAATAATCTAGCATTAAGATCACTCAATTAGCAAAGAAACACTTAAATCTAACACTAAACACCTTAAATCTACACTTAATCACCCTAATCAACCTAACCCATGAATCTAAGATGGATATACTCACTAATAAACATGTTTACTCTTAAACCCATGATGGATCCAAGCTTAACCATGTTTAGGAAGCAAATAATCACTCAAGAATACAAGAGATAAGATGAAAATTATATTAAAGAAACAAACTTTCACCAATATATTCTTGTTTTAGAGAGAGAATCAGATAAGTTCCATCATTAGGGTCTAAAAAGTATTTATAGGGTGCTTTAAAACTCTAATGGGCTCAGTCAACAAGTCTGAACAGGTCCAACAAAACATAAAAAACGACTAAGGAAAAGTACTGGAGCGGGTCAGTCTGGCCGTTGTGCTACCCCGCTCCAGGACGTGCTTGATATATGATATCACTCAAATGTTTAACCCTAAGGAGTGAATTACTCTCTCAAATAAGAGGTTCAGTTGTAGTACTTAGGGATCGAATCCACAGGGAACTAAGGAACACAAAAGATGTAATCCTAAGTGATTATGCTAGGTTGATTAGTTTAAAATAGTAAATTGTAGTTGTGAGCAATGATAAGTTGCTCAAGAGAATAAGTTTTAGTTTTAAAACAATAAAAGAAAGTAGTTAGATTCAAGGTTGTTATTCAGATAATCGGGATTATAATGCTACATATGTTTTAGTAAGTTTCTTGCAAGATATATAAGAACTTCGATTCTTAGACAGATCCAATAGCAGTCGCTAAATAGACTCATCCATTGATCTTATTGCTGGCAATATCGACCGATGTTTTGACAGCGATATCGGACGATATGGGTTGCCGTCGATCGATGACACTATAGGAGTATCGATCGATATAGCATAAGATCGAATCGAAACTGTGTTCACCAAGATCATAGACCGGCTCTCGCACATCCCTAGAGGATCTAAGCTTATGCCAAATGATTTAAGGATAATGATTAACAAGTTAAATCACATCCATGATCATACTCTAGGTAGCTACTCTAGAGTAAGCATTAGGGTTCATTTGGATAATGAATATCACAACTCAACATTCCATAGTTGGGGCTAATCCCTCATAATTATTTGAACCCTAAATCTAACAAAGGAATCTACTCAGACATTGCTAAGAGATTCATAACAGCAAGGTAATAATAGAAATTCATAAGATTAGAAGATTGAACTTTTGGTTCTTGGAACAACAAATCTCTTTGTGTGTTTCTTCTAAATCTAGAATTCTATAACCTTTGAGAATTAAGATGAAAAGAATACTTTATTGCTAAGTATAAAATAGTATCAAAAACACAAAAGAACACATAGGCAAAAACTATAAATATGAGTTCCATTAGGTTAAAAACTTGTCAGGGGCAATCTTGTAATATTGGGAAAACTTGGGCTTCAAGTCGGCCAAGTTAGATTTGTTCTCCATGCTTGATATCGATCAATGGTACATGGCGTACATCGATCAATGGAGTATATCGACTTCATCTTCTATGGAAGCGTCATCGATCAATTACACAGGGTGTGTATCGATCGATATGTATACTTGTTGTCTGATCTTCATAGTCATCTTGGAAAATTCTTCTTTAAGCTCCATAAGGGCACCTAAATCATCACTTTACTCCAAAATGCTCCTGAACCTGAAAACAAACCTAATAGACTCCAAAACATATATAAAACTTACAAAAACATATCAATACCATGACTAAAAGTTGGCCAAAATCATGGTATATCAACTCCCCCAGACTTAACCTTTTGCTTGTCCTCAAGCAAACCATTAGTAGTCTTTGGAAGAAGTTTAAAAACAGTAGGGACTCAATAAAATCTTAACTTTAAAATCATTACCTCTACTTTGTTGCAAGCCACATCTCATATTACTAACTACAGAAGTACATTATACCATATCCTAGCTTAGCAACCAAATTAAACAATCATGTCTGTTTAACCCCTCTACTGATTTCATTTATGCATAAAATAAAGGTGTAGGCTTTACCTTGGGAGTATCGATCAAAGAACACTTGGATTTAACTCAAACAAGTTTCAGGCATTCTCATTCTGGTTCCTTTTCTCCCTTTATCTCCCTTCTCTGAATTCCAAACTTACTTTTCTTTTATATCAATCCCAGTGAACAACTAATGTTCATCTTATTGATCTCTCTACTTTTTGTAGGCTTTTTCTGACAAAGTGTAGGCGAATAGTGGGGTCATAGGTAATTTACCTCTCCCTCGCTTCCACAATGTGTGATCATTCCTTTGATTTAAAATAGTGGGGTCATGGGTAATGTACATCTCCCTCTACCTCTCAGGAAATCATCTCAATCTTTTATTTTCTCTTTATGAGATGCCAAAGGAAGGAGAGAAAGGAACCAAAATTTTTGAGATTTTTACCTTCCAGACTTGCATGAGGATTCTGATACCTTGTATACCAAGCCCCAAGACAAGCAATATATGTCAGCTTAGGTTGGAAATCAGCTTTGGTTCTTCCAAACAATCATGAAAAGTGTTGTCATAGGTGACTGGTGATCCACTTTAGCATCTATGGTACTTTCTGCAATTAACAATTCTAAGAATGGTGCTAAAAAATAGTAAGATAAAAAAGCAAAAATTTTTGAAATCTTTTTGTCCCTTTCTTGACTCAATAAAACCAATTTTTGAAAACTTTTTAAAGAGATCAAAAAGGTAAAGTAGCATCAGTAATTCCACTCCCCCAGACTTAAATCATACACTGTCCTCAGTGTATAACCAGTCGGAGTTAGAGCATAAGAAATAATAAATGTATAACTGATATCGAAATTGTGAACGATATACATGACTGATGTTCGTATCGATCGATGGTGAGTCACTTCCATCGATCGTCAGGGATAGGGTTATGTCGGGCGATGTAGACATGGTCTCATCGGTCGATAGGTAGTGATCGTGTAGCTATGTTCCTAAAAACAAATAAAAACGAAAGTAGTAAGTAAAAATAAAATAAAACTAAGCAAGAAAATACCTAACAGTGGGTTGCCTCCCTTTCAGCGCTTATTTAAAGTCATTTAGCTTGACTATGGAGGTATAGTGGCTAGTGAGGTGGGTTGCAGGTACTTGTTGGGAAACAAGTATCCTCCTTGTCTTGTGATTCTTCAAACCATGAAGTTAAAAAGCTTCTTGTGGCTGTCTCGCTTCTGTTCATACTAGCTTGCAAACCATGGACCTCATAGTGGATTCTCTGTAGCCACTCCTCAATGCTTCATAAACTGCACCCATGTCGTCCAGTGTTGTTGTAGGTGTGCTCTAGATTAGTACTCTTCTGCATTGGGTCGAGGTTTTGGGTGTTTTGCACAGGGGAAGGGTTAGTATCGACCGATCTCGATTTAGGTCTATCGGGTGATATGGATGGATGTCCATCGGTTGAGGTGTTCAAAGGCTCGTCGATCGATGCGGATTGTGCAGGTTGGCTCGCGAGCCGGTTCTTGATGCTTTCGATCTCCATCCGAATGTCCTCTATTGTGCATTTCAATCCCTGAACGTCACTCTGTACCGGGAACCAAAATTTGTCGAGTGATCTATGTGCTCCGTCTTCACAGGCTTCAATAGATCTGTAGATCATCGTTGTGATTTCTTCAAGTTCTTCTCGGGTACAGTATTCTGGTGCGCGAGTATCGATCGATGTGAATGGAGGTTCATCGATCAATAGCTTCTGTAAGTGACTCTCGATAGGTTGGTCGAAGTTCGTGTCGATCAATATGGATGGTGCTGCATCGGTCGATGGCCGTCTCTGAGATTTAAATTCTTTGCGAAGTGCATTCACCTCTTCTTGCAGTGCTTTTCTCTCTTTACGAACGAAGTCATTGCCAGACAGATTCCACAGTATTTCACCTTGAATTGAAGATATTGCTTTCTCATGTTCTGACCTCAATCCTGCCGTCTCCCAGTAATGTTCACCGGTTCTTTCATTCAGCATGTGTGTAACTTATGCTTGTGTATAGAGTTTGCAAACTGGAACTCCTTTAGTAAACTGTTCAGCATGCTCTGGTAAACAGAAACAAGAGCGCTCAAACATTGTGGCTCTATTTAGCATCTTCTCAATATCATCTTTGTAAACATGGATGATGTCACCAGCGATGCTTCTTGCATAACCACTCTCATCTCTGTAGACTAAAAATAATTACATTACTATACTACAAGTTCTTTGTACCACACAATCCATATAATAATTAAAAAGTGCAATTTATATTTTATAAAGGATATCAGTCATGACCAAAAAAATCATATCAATATATTTTTAACTCAATTTGTACGACTCAGAAAATAAATAAATATATCAATAAAAGTTAGCACAAAGTATATCATTTCTGAAAATAAATTAATAGTCAAAAATCCGGGTGTAACCCGGGAAAATCTCTAGTCTTCATAATAGATGTAGAATTGTGGGTTATGGAATCGTTTATATAATATTTTCGTAATTTGTGATATTTAAATTAACAGCGTTAAAAAAAATACTGCGTCACACTTTTTACATTACCTGTTCGCAAACTTTACAAAGGCCACAAATATCCGTTTGTTTTGGTACCGAGGCTTTGATTGCGTCCATCAATAAATATACAGTTAGGCTCCCTCCCTGTCTTCCCACCATCTCTCTCCCTCTAATATGGATTCTCAAATTGATTTTGATCATGAAAGCGGCCGCACATTTAGAGTGTTGCAACCCTCTCAGTGGGATAATTTCTTCCTCAACGTCCCGATCGATGAATTGGTGAGTATGTTTATTATCATTCTATATGCGGTACATTCATATATACACACACATCTCAATCTATGAAAAATAGAACAGGTAAAATAAATAAATGATCATTTGCTTCTTCTTTTTTTCCTTTTGTAAAAGGCTTTGATTCTTGCTTTTGTTGTGAAATTAGATGAAAACTATGAAGAACGTAGCAATAAGAGAGAAGCAACTAAAGTTTATTTATTAACTTGTAAATGATTAATGCAAACATTAACTCCCAAAACGATGCTACTAGGAAAACTCAAGCTCAATTAATCTTTCTTTTAATATTTGCATCGTGCCATATCCTATATATAATTCTAATTGGTCACTCAAAATTTTCAGTCACGTTGACAACAGATTTGATCATACGATACATATCATAGTGATTTTTACTAGCTAGTATTGTGATAATGTCACTATTTCAGTTCACACCCAGTACATTGTTTGTTTAACAAAACAGGCTACTGACTTGTCTTGTGTTAAATTCTACTAGGAAATAAATGTCCTTGCAAGCGAACTTGAAGCAATCAAACCCAACGTCAGGAACATGCTCGTGTCCTCTTCCCAAGCAGGTTATGACTCCGAAAAGAGGAAGGCACTTTTAATTTATTTGATGACCAGTCTTGGTGTTGCATATCATTTTGAGAATGACATCGAAAAGACCTTGAAACACGCCTTTGAAAAGATAGATTATATGATTCTGAATGAGCATGACCTTTACACGATCTCCATCTTGTTTTGGGTTTTCAGAACATATGGTTACAACATGTCGGCCGGTAAGCTGTTCATGCTTCTTTTAATTTGATACATATTAACAAACGTCGACTTCATCTATTATTCGTTTGATAGATGTATCTTACAATTTTTGATGTATATAGATGCGTTCAAGAGATTCAAAGGGGATGACGGAAAGTTTATGGACTCTTTAGCCAGGGATGCTAAGGGGATGTTGAGCTTGTATGAAGCCGCCCATTTGAGGACAAGAAGAGATTATATAATGGACGAAGCATTGAGCTTTACAATGAAACATATGGAGTCGTTAACAGGACGAGCAAAGCCTAATCTCTCAAGGCTTATACAGAATGCTCTTGGTCTATCTCAACATTGGAATATGGAGATATTAGTTGCAATGGAATTTATCTCATTCTACGAACAAGAAGAAGACCATAACGAGACACTACTCAAGTTTTCCAAGCTCAATTTTAAGTTACTACAGCTTATATACCTTAGGGAGCTCAAAATGGTTACAAAGTAAATAATTTCCTTAGTTACTAGTCTCTTTATTTGGTTTGAAATAAATCATCATATATAAAATATATGTGTCTATATTCGAATGCAATATTTCAGAGATAGAATCGTGGAGTTACACTTTTTTGTAATATCGATGTATTTTGAGCCACAATATTCAAGTGCGAGGATTATGCTGACTAAGTTCTACACGGTCGAAACCATTACCGACGACACCTTCGATCGATATGCATCTATCTCTGAAGCTGAATGCCTCGCCAATAGTCTAGAAAGGTAGACGACACATGTTAAAAATTCACATAATTAACGTTCATACTGATGATGATAGGAATGATCGTTAACTTTTACAAGGTGGGCTCCTGATAAAGACATGGATACACAACCAGATTATTTGAAATTCGTGTTTAAATTAATTCTGGATGTATTCAAAGATTTCGAAGGACAAGTGGGGTCAGAAGGAAGATCTTACAGCGTGAAAGGTACAATAGAAGAGGTAAGGAATCAAAACTCTTTAGTATAATGTATACATTTATATGATTATATCAAAGCATTTTAAAAGCATCACCATCACGTAGTATCTCTAGATAAGCTTTTTAGTTTTTAAAATATTAATATTTTAATATACTATGATTTTGTAGTAAATACTATCATTTAGTAGTAACTATTTTTATTCTATTTTAAAATCAACTATTCAGAACAAGACAAGCTTCTTCGATGTTTCATATTATTTAGAGTAGTTTTGACTATTCACAGGTGGAATTTTTGACAGTGTCGGCACCGACAGCCTTAACTAATTATCCTTAAATGTATTGTTTACTAGTTTTGGAAGGGATTCAAATTTCGTATCAGTATAAGATTAAGAATATCTATTATATTAAAACATAAGTCATAACTCATTTCATGTGTGATTTTGTAGTTTGGACCATCTTTAGAAAATTTATAAAATCTTACATAACATCATTATAATATATTTTCATATCTTTAATTTTTATTTGAAATACAAATAAATATTATTTTAAGAAAATCTAACAAAATCTTTTAGAATCTTTTTAGGATATATTTTTGAAAATTATTATCATAAAATACAATTATACATTTAAATAGTATATAACATCAAATTATATTTATTGATAAACTTATTATATAATTTAAATATTTTAATATTAAAACCGTGCGGGTCGAGATCTAGTGAATGTTTAAAGCTGAAGAGGGCGGGTAGCATTACGAATTACGATGCGGGCCAGTGTTATCATTCACATGTAATTGGGTGTCTATTTTATCTAGTAATTAAATATTATAATAATTTACATAAATTATAAGTGGTTAAGAATATATTGGAACGCACTTGTAACGTACATGCATGAAAAAATATCCAGAAGCTGAAAAAAAAAATCTAAAAAAAATATTTATCTTTGGACTGTATCTTTTTTAGAGATTAGTCTGGACTTTTCTATGAATTTGGAATATCTCCAAATTAACAAAGAAAAAACGTACATGCATGGATTAGATGTTTTTTCAAAGCAAATATATTATGTTATACTGTTATTTTTTATTTCAAATAATTGTTACCTACAATATTTTATGTATACTAGTAAATTTTTGTTTACTTAACTTGTTTTAAATTAATGTATTTTCTGTTTTTGTACTTTGCAATTTCATTCCACAGCATACATTCAAGGCTATTATTGAACATGTATATTTATTTTTATTATTATTTAGTGTAAAAAGACAAAAACCTATATTTAACTATTAATCTTTATCTATTTAATATGAAAAATATATTAAATGTGTATTCCCAAGTTGACAAAATCAAAAATTTAGTTAGAGGTATATTATGATAGAGAACTTTGTTTTTATTATTTTTAATTTCTAAAAAATCAAAGCACATATTCGAACATTAATATTTATTTATATAATATTCAGAAAAAATATTTAAATGTGTATTATTTAGTTGTTTAAGTTAGTAGTTTGATTCCGGTTCGGTTCTTTTTATCTTTGGTTCAAGAGGTTGAGGATCTATTCAAGTAGTTAGAAAGTTCTCTTCGATTTTGGTTCGGTTATTTCGGTTTGGATTCAGTTCAGATAACAAAACTGGGAACCTCCTTATATCTGAGGTCATTTCGGATCCCATTCGGTTCCGTTTTCTGATTAATTTGAATAAAAGAGTAAAAACACAAGTTTTCTTGATTAAATATCAGATTTTCCAGAGTTTCGATAAAAACTCAAGTAATTCAGATAATTTTAAATATTTTGGATAAAAAGCATTCTACTAATTCAAAATTTTAAGTATTTCGACTTATAAATAATATTTTAAGTTATTTGATTATTTCAAAATTAAATATAGTTAATATTTATAAATATATAAACTATATTATATACATTTAGGTAGCTATTTGGTTCTCAGTTTGGTTCCGGTTTAGTTCTGGCTTCGAATTCGGTTCCAGATTTTTTTAACTGTTTTTAAGACGAACCGTTCTTTTATACAAACTGCAGCTAAATTATACCGCAGTACCTAATATGCTTATCCCGCACCGCTCAACCCATTGTTACCATTTGGAGTCTAAGTAGTGTCAGCAGAAAACGAATATATGAGTTTTTGATGTATTCGTAATTTTGATCCGTTTTGTCGAATAATCAATTATCCAATTTGTTATTCGGATACTTGGTGTTCAAAAATCAGGAGAATTTTACATTGTTAGCCGCATATCCATTCATTCCGAATAAATAAAATAATAGCTTAAAACTAAAAAATAAAGAATAAGTCAAAGATTAATATAAAATAATAATGTTATTACAAATATAGAAATTTATTTAATTTGAGCTCTAATAGCTTGAATAATCAAGGGTCCCAATAATCAATATAATAAATATTTTTATAAAAATTTCATAAAAAATAATTATTATTTACTTTATAATAGAGAACTATATATATATATATATATATATATATATATAAATAATGGACCATTTCTAAAAATATTAATTTGTGATTTTATTCGTTTTTATAGATATTTCATATTAGTATTTTTTTTTTATTCGTAAAGTTAAAGATGACATATTTTTTCAGGGAAAATTGTTTTCAAATAAAATGAATATCAAAACTTAAAAAGATAAACAAGAATTTAAAAGCTATAATTTATTTGTTTACACATTCAATGTACAAACTATACCAACAGATATTAATTTGGCTTCAGTTGAGTTTCATTTTTCATTTTTTCTGATTTTTCGAATTTTATTCGAGAATTATTCACAGCACTTTCCAATTGTAATTTTCTTATGTCTTTCGTCAGTTTTTTTTTTTTTTTTTTGCTACTCACTCTGACTCTGAGGCGGAACTCATAAACCATGATGAAAGTTCCTAATATGAGGTTTGTTTATATATATTTTTGATCTGCAGTTCAGAAGACTCGTGAAATCCAACCTTGACCTTGCAAAATGGGCGCAAATCGCTCATGTGCCTAGCTTTGAGGATTATATGGAAGTCGGTGAGGTTGAGATAACGATGTACGCAACTATGGCAGGGACTTTGATTGGTATGGGACATATTGCTACGAAGGAAGCTTATGAGTGGCTCAAATCAAGACCCAAACTCATCCAATCATTATCTGTGAATGGGCGTCTGATGAATGACATGGCCGGTTTCGAGGTAAGAAGAAATGCTTCATCCTGTAAATGTAACTGTGAGGTTAAATGTGTAAATTTTAAAGTTCGTGATGTTGTAAATGAAATAGAGAACAGTTTATTTTCATGCAGTTTCTGTACCATTTAATAAAAATCTATGTGTGACTTTATTAGGATGACATGAGTAGAGGATATGTGACTACTGGTGTCAACTGTTATATGAAGCAATATGGAGTTACAAAAAGCGAAGCTTTTAAGAAGCTTCATCAGATGCGTGTAGACAACGACAAAATAGTGAATGAAGAGTTGTTGACGACAAAAGATGTGCCAAAGAGAGTTCTCAAAGAAGCCATCAATTGTGCACGCATGACCAGCGTTGCCTACGGCTACGGTGAAGGATTAACACATCCTGAAGGAAAAATTAAGGACTATATTTTTTCTCTTTATATTGATCTGATTCGTCTGTAAATTAAAGACTTTGGTTGGAAACACCTTTAATGAGTGTGACCATCGGGTTGGCATTTGCTGCGCGGGCTATATACTATCTTAGATATGGTCGCATATTTCATTTAGAAGTCTTCGAATCTTTGCTATTTTAATGTCTTTTTTATTATTTCTCTATTTCTTTTGTTATGATCTTATTATCAGTTGTGAAGGCGTCGTGAATCATGCGCTCCTAATGGACAGTACTATTCTAATATGCGATCCTAATGGACACTAATCTAATATGGTATGGACTTAAAAAAGATCTAAAGCAACCATTTTCAATCTTTATTGACCACATCTAATGAAATACCTAAAATAATTTTATGGAACTAACTAAATTTTGATCCGTCTTTAGAAAGCATGTGTTTGTATTCGAAATTAAATATTTTTAATGAATTTCTATATAAAATAGTGTAGGTTCGAACACATTTATTCAAAACTACAAATCGAAATGTACAAAACTAAAAATGAACCAAAATTGAATGAAAATTCATAAATAACCGAACATATTATATATTTCTGTAACCGAAAAATTTAAACCAAACCGAGAATCAAATGAATACCTAAATTTTTTAAAATACAAATCATATACTTACAAATATTAAATATATTCAATTTATGAATAACTGAATATTTTAAAATACTATTTGTAAACAAATTTCCTTGAATAAAATTTTGTTATTCAAAATATATTAAATTATTTGAATTGTCCGATATTTTAATCCAAACAATCGGATTTACGTGATATTTAAACTAAAATCCTTAAATTATCCGATATTTTATCTATAAATCCATGATTACCAGCAGAATCAGAACAAACCGCAATTGAATTGGACCAATTTTGTTTTTAGCATATTAGTCAGTTCCCAACTTTGCTACAGAACCGAACCAAAACCAAAATAACTCAACTGAAACCATACTAAATTTTGTAAATAATTGAAGGATTTTTTAATTTCTAGAATCAAGAGACCAAAATCCAAAATACCCAAACCAGAAATGAATGCTGAAGACTAATAGTGTATATACCTTTAAATGATCTGAAGAAAGTATTTTAATTTTACAAATTATTTAAATCCTTGTACTGAGTGTACATATATGGTTTATAGACAAAATATGATATAAGCAGTGTTTTTATATTCGATATGTATTTGTGGTCGAACCAGTAAACCCAGTAAATGTATATAATTGGGACTGACTTATGTTCTTCATGTAGCATACTATTAGAGATTCTTCCAAGTGATATGTTTTCACAAAATTAGGATATAATGAAAAAATATTAATTAAAAAATCCGATATAACACAAAAACCCTATATTAACCTGTGAAGCCACACCAGTTGATCCCAAAAAAAACCCAGAAATCTTATAATATTTTTCGGAAAAATTGATTAAACTTCTCATGTACTTTATAATAATAAGTAAATCTGAATAATATTTAATTTGTCATATATAAAGTAAATGCATTGTCATTATGTTATGCATTGAAATTATAAGTTCTGTAACGATCAATAATATTACAATTTAATTTAAATAAATTATTTCTTTTGTTTAGAAGCATACAATGGGTTTAGACCTACTGATAAAATTAAATTTATGATTGATAAAATTGGATTTCTTAATGGATCATAGATACAATGAATTAAATTAATGGATAGATATAGTTTTAAGCCTAAAAACCAAAAGACAAAATTCTATTAATGAGAACCAGATTTTGTTTGTAAATTTAAGAGTATTTTGAAAAATTGACATTTTCATCAAAGAAAGAAAATAAGAATGTTTATGTTTAATAGTATAGATATTTTTATAAAATGTTAACTATAAGTGTTTCAATATATTTAAATATAGAAGAAAATATTGAATGCGGTATTTAAACCATTAGTTGTTTCTGAGATTCAGTATTTAAAGTATTGATGAGCAAGATAATGTTGTTTTGTAGTATGACATTCAAAAATGTATACGTTTGTTTGTATTTTTTTAAACTAAATATATGAATGTTGTTGTACGATATTTTTCAACGTTTATTAGGAATAAAGTCTAACATATGTATTTTGCGATGTTTTAGTTTATACATGGGTGATGACTGATGACATAGATATAGATAAGGATACGTTTTGTCATATGTTAGAAAATAATCTTAAGTGAAAATAATAAAACGTATGGATCGTTTGTTAATAGTTATTTTTCATATCTATTATATTCAAAGAGAAGTCATGACTCACTTCACGTGTGATTTTTTTAGTTAAGACTATTCTTAGAAATTTTATAAAATTTTACATGACATCATTATAATATCTTTTCATATCTTTAATTTTTATATGAAATACAAATAAATAATTTTAAGAAAATTCTAACAAAATCTTTTAGAAATTTTCGAGATGTAGTTTCAAAAATGATTTGATTAAAACTTTAATTATCATAAAATATAATTAAAATTAAAATTTATTTTTTATTTATAAAAAATTTAAATTATCTAAAGTACATTTAAAAATATCCCAAAATTTTGTTTATGTATTATGTAGGTCCAACGTAATTTACTTTTTACACATTTTTCAAATTTAGAAATAAAAAAATATATATAAATTAGTAATGTTACATAATAATATTTGTAAAATTGTTTACAAAAATAAAAATTTATAAATATTTTATTAATAATATTATAAGCCACATAAATATTATTACAAAATTGGATAATATACAGAATCAAGTTATATTTATTTATTGATAAATATTACTCCTTTCGTTTCTTAATATATGATGTTTTGGATTATTGCGCAAAGATTCAGAAATTTACATTCTTTTACAAAAGTATTTTTAAATAGATAATTTTAAAATCCTTCAACAAATTATTAAAAAAACAGCAAAATTTAAGATATTTACATTCTTTTACAAAATTATTTTAAAGATATAATTTTAAAATCATTCAACCAATTATTAAAAAAAGTAAAATTTTATTGGTTGAACAGTTTTCAATAAAGTTAAAAATAATCTTAAAATTTTAAAATATACCTTAAAATTTCAAAATATCTTATAAGTTTTTTTTAAAACATCATCTAATTTGAAAAAGAGGGAATATTATATAATTTCAAATATTTTCGTATTAATACTCTCACAGTTGTTCGGGTCGAAATCTAGTATTATGTTAAATAGATAAATGTTGTTGTGTGACTGTTTTTTTTAACATTGATTAGTAATAAGGTCAACATATGTGTTTTGTTTCTTTGGGTTGATAGTGTATTTGAGGGGAACTGTAACTTAACTATTATGTGTCTTAATTAAGTTAAGAATAATGAACGATTAAGAAATAAAATTACTAGAGTAGTGATCGATTAAATTAGGCAGAGATGCCACAGATCATTGTGTTGCTAAAATAAAGTTTAGTTATAGTATTTGGTTAGTTATAATATGATATATTAAAATGAAAAGTAATTCTCTCAAATAGATCATTTTAAGTTTTTGTCACCAAAATAAATTTTAAAAATTAAAAGGGCAAATCTCCAAAATAGCACATGTCTAGGTTAATGTCACAAAAATAGCGTTCAAAAACTAAAATGACCAAAATAGCATTTTATCTTTTGAAATTTTTTTAAAATTTTTTTTTTTCAAAAATTGAAATCTTATCCCCAAGACTACACACCCCAACTCTAAACCCTAAAACCTAAATTCTAAACCCTAAACCCTAAATCCCACCCCTTAACTCTAAACCCTAATGTCTAAATTAATTTATCATTGGGATATAGGTGTATATATATCTCTTTTGTTAAAACATTAAGTGCTATTTTGCTCATTTTTATTCTTAAGTGCTATATTTGTGACAAAAACTTTTTTAGTGCTATCCTAGCCATTTTCTCAAACTAAAATGACTAAACAAACATTTTTTATTTTGAAAATATCATTTTTTAATTTTTTTTTAATTTTGAAACCCTATCCCCAAAATCTTACTCCTAAACTCTAAACCCTAAACCCTAAACCTTAAACCCTAAACCCTATCTTAACTCTAAACTCTAATGTCTATATTAATTAATCCTAGAGGTATAAGTATATATTAACTTTTATTTCTAATATATTTAAATTTATTTTGCTCCTTTTTATTTTTAAGATTTATATTTAAAAAATCTTTTTTTTTTTATATCTATCCTAGGAAATTTCTCTAAATCCATTGCAGAGCCAATCACCTTCAGCTCTCTCGCTGTCGTACCTCCTCCTCCATGACAAGCTCTACCACTAGGCGGCATCATCCTAGGGCGAACGAATCCACCACAGTGAAATTTAAACCGCAAAGAAACGGTAAAACCATATATGATTCCAGTTGATATCATCATACATGCTGATCCTTGGCGATCTATTCAATAGGTTCTTCTCATCGTGTGGATACTATTATTATTTTTGATTAATCTGGGATATCCTTAAGTGAAGGTGCAGTCCACACAAATGAAATATCTCTCCGGGTCAAATGGATCGTAAGCAATAAACCCATATCTACTTTGCCACTTCATGTAGTGTAGTGAGGTGTCTTCAAACCTCTTAGCAACCTAGTTGGTGAGTGATGTGAGTAAAGTCTATCTGGGAGCATGGGACAAAGAAAAAGGGTTAGAACTTGTGATCACTTAGGAAAATAGTAGAATAATGAAAATAAGACTATGTATGCATGAGTTGCCTCTAGTCTTAGATAATTTTTGCATAATGATCCAACTCCTTGTTCTTGAGTGATAACCACTAAAAATGATGCATTTGAGCCCTCCTTTTCATTCTCATTAGACCATTCGCTTACCTAGCCAAATGATTGAGATCATGTGCCCATTTGTGAGAATTCACTTTGTGTGTGTGTGTGAGAACTAATGTGAGAGCTGATTTAAAGACTTGTAAATTGAAAAGTTTTGCATCTTGCTTAAAGGCATAAGAGTGTGTTGATAGGCCTAGAGAAGCTAGAGTATAATAAGAGAGTGTGCTCATGCTATTTTGTATGTCTCTTTAGGATGTTAAGTTG